TGAATGAAATCAAAACTTGTCAAACCCCTGGATTGCTTGCTTCCTCATTTGAAAGAGTGGTTGGTCCCATCTGATATGAGGAAGACGTTGCAAGTGGGGGGCCTCTCAGGGCAGAACTATGAAGGCTGCCCAAGAACTCCCCTCTTGCCCATCGTCCCCAAATCAGCTTGGACTCTCCCCAGATATAAGTATTCTCTGTGCTCCTGGTGAATCAAGGCATCCTTTTTTTTTTTTAATTAGCAAGTTTGTTGTTGTTGGATGCCATCGAGTAAATTCCGACTCATAGCACCCTATAGGATAGAGTAGAACTGCCCCGTAGGGTTTCCAAGGTTGTAATCTTTAAGGAAGCAGATCTCCAGGTCTTTTCTCCCTTGGAGACGCTGGTAGGTTCAAACCACCCACCTTTCCCTTAGCAGCCAAGGGCTTAACCATTGTGCCACCAGGGCCTCTTAACAGCAAGTTTATTCAGATATAATTCATGTACCATACAATTCACCTATTTAAAGTATCCAATTCAATGGTTTTTAGTAGATTCACAGAGTTGTGCAACCATTATCACAGTCGATTTTAGAAAATATCCATCACTCACAAAAGAAACCCGTTAGTAGTCACTCCCCATTCCCTCCTCCCTGCCCTAGTCCTAGGCAATCAGTGATCTACTTCCTGTCTCTAGGGATTTGTCGATTCTGGACATTTCATATAAATGGAATCATTCACTGTGTGGTCATTTGTGAGTGGCTTCTTTCACTCAATATAACGTTTTCAAAGTCCATCCATGGAGTAGCATGTATCAGTACTTCATTTATTTTTATTGCTGAAAAATATTCCACTGTATGGTATACCACGTTTTGTTTTTCCATTCATCAGTTGATGGACAGCAGACATCCTTTTGACTTTCATATGTTATCTGTAATGACAGCTGTGTCTGTTGAGTACCTATCATGTGCCAAGTGCTTGACCTATTTCTAATCCAGGGAGACATGTCTATTTTTCCTCCTAGACCAATAAGGAAACTGAGATGCAGAGGGGAAATGGGCCATTTGAGGTCACACGCTGACAAGTGACAGAGCTGGGACGAAAATAGGTTGTCCATGCTCTTCCCAAAGGAGCCCTGGTGGCACAATTGTTAAGTACTCAGCTCCTAACCAAAAGGTTGGAGGTTTGAACCCACCTAGTGGCTCTGCGGGAGAAAGTCCTGGCAATCTGCTTCTGTAAAGATTACAGGCTAGGAAATCTTATGAGGCAGTTCTACTCTTTCACATGGGGTTGCTGTGAGTCAGGATTGGCTTGATGACACCCAGCAATACTCTTCCACTGCACCATGAGGCCTCCTCTGTGTGCTCTGCTCTCTCCTTCCAACCAGCTCTGAGGCCAGACCGGAAGGAATCCACTCATTCACTCAGCACTCATTGAACTACCTGAACTGGCACCAGGTGGATGGTAGCACGCCTTAGTCACCAGGCCCGGTGGGACCCAGACCGTGGAGCTCCCAGACAAGGAGAGGTCATCACATGGGGTGGCTGGTACTGGTCACCAGGAACGGTGTGACCAAGTGCCAGACATGGAGCTGCTGGAAGGCCCATAGGGAGGTTTCCAGAGCAGATGGCATTTGGGCAGGACCCCAGAGGACCAGGTGGGTTTCCCAGGCAGGGATGGGGTGAGCCACCCACCCAAGGACTCGGGTACACACAGGCCCAGAGGCCAGGAACCTCAGAGGTGTTTGGTCCACAGGAATGGGTCCTGTCCCCTAGAGGTGGGGAGGTGAAGAGGGCTGGTGAGAAGTTGGGACCGCACTGCTGAGGGATGCCATCCTGGAGTCTGGGCTCCTCCTGGTGAGCAGCAGGGAGCCACTGAGTTTTTGAGCAGGGTAATAAGATCAAGTTGTCCCTGGATGGTGCAAATGGTTAACGTACTCGGCTGCTAACCAAAAGGTTGGAGGTTTGAGTCCACCCAGAGGTACCTCGGAAGAAAGACCTAGTGATCTGCTTCCAAAAAATCAGCCATTGAAAACCCTGTGAAGTGGTCATCTAAGATACATCTAACTGGTCTCATCCCATCCAGAGCAAAGGAGAATGAAGAAAACCAAAGACACAAGGAAAATATTAGCCCAGAGGAGTAAAGGACCACGTGAACCAGAGACTCCACCAGCCTGAGCCCTGAACTAGATGGTGCCCGGCTACCACCACCAACCATTCTGATAAGAATCACAACAGAAAGTCCCAGACAGAAAGGGAGAAAAATGCAGAACAGAATTCAGATTCACAAAAAAGGACCAGACCTACTGGTCTGACCCAGACTGGAGGAACCCTGGAGACTACGGCCCCCGGACACTCTGCTAACCCAGAACTGAAACCATTCCCGAAGCCCACTCTTCAGACAAAGAGTAGACAGGCCTATAAAACAAAAAATAACACACGTGAGGAACATGCTTCTTAGTTCAATCAAATATACGAGACTAAATGGACAACTCCTGTCCAAAAGCAAAATGAGAAGACAGGAAGGGACAAGAACTGGACAAACGGACATAGGAAACCCAGGGTGGAAAAGGGGAGCATGATGTCACATTGTGGGGATTGCAACCAATGTCACAGAACAATATGTGTACAAACTTTTGAAAGAGAAATTAACTTGACCTATAAACTTTCAACCAAAGCACAATAAAATTTGAAAACAGAAAACCCCATGGAGCAGTTCTACTCCAACACACGGGGGGTGACCGTGAGTCAGCTGATTCGATGGCAACTGGAAAATAAAATCAAAGCTATCTGAACCCTGGTGTCCATCTTCAGACCTTGGCTCCTAGATTCCCAGTTTCGCCTAGATTCCCAGTTTCGCCCACAGGAAGAAGGAAGAGCTGCACTTCAGTCCCCAGAAGCTGTGCCCCTGTTCATCTCCATAACCTCAGCACTGAGGAGGTGCCTGGTGCGTGGTCAGCGCTAATCAATATTTGTTCAATGACTGAATGTATGAATGACTGAATGGGTGAATGAATGACTGAATGAACTGCCAGCCAGCCTCCTCCCTCCACCCTATCCCTCTCTGTCCTCTTCTAGTCCCTTTCCTGGCTCAGCGGAATAAAACACCTGGTGTGTTCCAGGTTCTCCCATCTCGAGAACCCACCTGCCTTCTCTTTCCCTCTTGGTCCCTCCCCTTCGCCCTCACTCCCCTTCTCCTCCACTGGCTAGAAGTAAACACAGGCGCCAACACCCAGAGTGCTCCCACCCCATGCTGAGCACGAGCAACCGCAATTCCCGTACATTCTCACAGCCACCCTTGAGGACAGACATGATGAACCACACTTTGCAGATGGGGAAACTGTGACTCCGAGTGGTCAAAGGACTTGCCAGCTGCTAAGTGGCAGAGCTGAGACTTGAACTGGGACCTTCTACTTCCATCTAGTGCTTCTAGCTGAGGATGTGGAGTGTGTGTGGAGGGGGTTTGCTGAGGGCTAAGGATGGGGTGGGAGGTGGGGGGAGGACAAAGAAAGGGATTCCTGGGGGAGGGGCGTCTCTGAGCCCAGGTCCCATGTCTGTTCCTGCCCCATGAGGATGCCAAAGCCAGATTCCCTCACCCATACTGCTGCTTCACCCCCCAGGGTGGGGCCTCCTCTCTCTCTCAGACACACATACACATACACACACATCCAGGCCCAAAACCAAGAAGCAGAAACAGTAGTTGCCTTATGTAAGAGAGGCTTTATTTTTTCCATAAAATCATTCACCAGAGGAAAAAAAAATTTACATGCCCAAAATAAATAGCTAGCCCCCTGAAGAAGAAAACATCCCACAGTGGCCTCATCAGAAATCCTTTGGTCAAACAGGTCAGCTGGTTCCCAAAGCCCCTCGGGTGGCGTGGCTCTCATGTCGGTTCTTCAAATCTCCTAGAACATCTGTTCCAGAAAGAACCTCCAGCTCCAACAGTCTCAACTGACAGATGGGAAAACTGATGCCAAGATCAGGGAAGGGTCAGCCCAAGACCATCCAACATCAGGCCCAGGGACCCCATCTGGTCCTCTTTCCCTGAAGCTCACTGCCAGGTCTCTAACCAAGGTTGTGCCTTTGAGGGAGGGCTGGGCTGCTGCCAGTACCACCTCTAAATGCTGGGTGGTATAGCAGAGGCCCACCACCCACATATCTGTTCGTCCCACTGTAGTAGGTTTCATGTTGCTATGATGCTGAAAGCTATGACACCACCATTTCAGATACCAGCAGGGTCAGCCACAGAGGAGCTTCCAGACTAAGACAGACTAGAAAGAAAGGCCTGGCAATCTATTTCCAAAAATTAGCCAATAAAAACCCTATGGGCCACAGCAGAACACTGTCTAACTTGCTTGCTTTGGACACATCATTAGAAGGGATCGATTGCTAGAGGAGGACATCATGCTGGGTGAAGTCGTGAGCCAATGAGGGCATAGGAGATCCTCAGTAAGATGGATTGGCACCATAGCTACAACAATGGAATGGAACATGCTGGTGACTGTGAGGATGACACAGGATCGGGCAGTGTTTCACCTGTTCTACACAGGGTCACCATGAGTCAGAGTCAACTCGACAGCAGCTAACAACAACACAGCTGAGATCATAACAACCTCACTTTTCACCCGGAAATTTACCTGGCGGCGCAGGGCCCAGGCACACACGGGCCTCAAGGCCAAACAGAACTAAGTAGTAGGTGACATGCCTCCTGCCCCCATCACATCACCTCCCCTCGGGTCAAGGGTCTGCCAAGACCATGTGCAGGAAGGAAGATGCTACCTGCTCTGACCCTGAGAACTTCCACGTGCCTCTGGACGATATCAATCAGTTTGGCGGCTGAGATTCTTTTCTTGCTAGCCAGAAGTCCTGGCTGGCCATTAAATTTCTTTTCTTTTTTTTAAGAAAAAAGATTGGCTACTTCATAAAAGTAGCTCTGGGAGGCAAAGTCTTTCTGGACAGGGGATCTTCAAAGGTGGGGAACAATTAGCAAAAGCATCCTCAGGGCTGAAGACGAAGGCTTCTGAACTAGGCAGCTGCAGAGGGGCTTCCTTTCTGACCCTGGCACTCCCGGTACACCAGAAAGGGGTGGATGAACGTCAGCAGGGTAATAAGCACCAGCGTCATGTTCACCTGGTGGGGAGAGAGGAAGGAGTGAGTCCAAGTCCAGGAGCCCACCCACGGCCGATGAAGGGAGCGGGCGGGCTCGTCTTCCGCCAATTCTGCCTCATTGATATTTTACTTTCCACTCAGACACTGTGCTGCCCCGGAGGAAGAATTTTCTATTATTTCCATTCTGCTCTGTTGGGTGGGTTACCAAAACCAAACAAACCAGTTACCATCAAGTCAACTCTGATTCATGGCAACCCCATGTGTGTCAGAGTAGGAATGTGCTCCATAGGGTTTCCAACGGCAGTTGGCCATGTTAATTCTGTGTCTTCAGGTACCCCCAGGACAAAGTGGTGTACTCCCACCAACCCCCATTTGAAAAGCAAGACCAAGGATGTGCCTGCGTGCAGAACTGTTCCTGTGGGGGGTGCACCAGGACAGCTTAACCAGGTCTTTGGACTCCCCCTTGCTGGGGCCCCCTTGGAGTCACCCCAGTTGAGTTGTGGTTGCTGGTCCAAGGTCAGGGCCCTCTGCTGGGGAGAACCAGGCCAGGGACACCTCCCTGGCCACAGTACTCACGGCAAAAGGGTCATTCTGGAGGGGTCCTTTGATGAGGGTGAAGATGGGGAACTGGAGCAGAGACACGATGGCCGACAAGGCCATCACCAGCCCAAAGAGCTTCCCAAAGTGCTCAGATGGAAAACTGGAGACAGAGACCAAAGGAACTTCTGATGAGCTTCAGGGGTCCTCCCACTTGTTCCCCAACTGCCCTGTCCTAGGCCTCCCCTTCACCCACTCACACCCACAACCCTCCCCCACACCTGCTCCTTTGCCCGGGCACTCGAACCAAGAACACAGACAAGGCACTATGCTGGGTCTTGGGAAGAGAGTAGGGACTGAGGCTGTGCCCCACGGAGGCCTCCAGAGAAAAGACAGGCACAAAAACAGATGACATGCCCAACAGTGCGTGCATATAAAAAAAAAAAAGCGAGAAGAGAGTGCCATGAACACAAAGAAGGGAAGAAACTTTCTAACTCTTCCCTAGGAGAGTTTGAACAGAATTAACACACGGGCTTTGGAGGGGAATAGGAGTTCACCAGGCAGATAGCAGGAGGCAGAGGGGACAGCGGATGCAAAGGCTCAAGTGTATGAACACTCTATACCTCTCACCAGCCTCCACCTCCAGGTATCAACACTCCCTCTATACCTGCCACCAAAACCCTGTCTCCCTCACCTGACCACCTCCAGGCCCACCTCTCCTCCCAGTGTCTCTACCTCCAGCACACTCCCCTTTGCCCAGCATGTCTGCCATCACAGAACACGTCCCAAGCCCCACTTACACAAGGGTGAGGAAGGCCGCGTTGCTCCCGTAGAGGAAGGAGCGGCTGACCACCTGCAAGATGAAGGTGAGGTACTGGAGGGAGAGGACAGGGACTGAGGCACAGAGGGCAAAGCCCAGGCACAGCAGGGACGTCAGGGCCAGAGAGGGCACCATCGAGTAGAGGGCCACCACCGAGGCTGAGGAATCTGGTCCAGAGGGAAGAGGAGAGGCTGCTGGAGGCGGGCACAACGGAGGACACGGGGAAGGGGAGGAAGAAAGATGGGAAAAGGGAGGAGCCACAATCCACCCATTTGCCCAAGCAGAAACCTGAGAGGCACCCTTGAATCTCACTGTGCTAGAAAGCAGGGACACTATGTAAAGCTAATGGGATTATGTGCAAAAGGACAGAGAAGCCAGATCAACAGAGGTCCCAATGGCCAAAGATGGGACAACTTGAGCACCAGGAACAATCATGATGGCAACAGACTGAAACAGGTCAGATATATTAACAACGAGACTTTGCAAAAGAAACAACTAGTAGTCGCCACTGGAAGTTGCTAGGCCACCAACTGCTTATTCTGAAAACTGGTGAACAGAGGGGACCTATCAAGCACTTATTCTGCCTTTCTTATAGGAACTGGATTTCAGGGTAACAGAACAGTTAATGGGGGAAAGTTTTTCTTTCTAGAGGGATTCCAGCTGTGAAAGGCAGAAGGAACAAGAGAAATAGGAAATCACCATGTTGCAACCCTAATAAAATAATGGGTCTAGGCATTGATCAATCAATGGCTGCCAAAATCATTAGGTATACAGTTGATGGGAAACTTTGTAATAAATGGATCAGACTGACAACGGATGAACCCATTGATCAATCGGAACAGCCTGAGAAGAAAGACAGCAGATACCAGGGGCCTGCTGACGGGATACCATCGGAAGCCTACAGCTCCACTTCTGGATTATTCTTGCAAAAAAAAAAAAATTAAACTGATTCTCCTCGAGCTGCTAATCTAACCGCCTATTTACAGGAAATACTCAACCACAGGAAATTTTTAGATGACACCAAAAGGATCCTTTCCAACAGGACAAGGATGCCAAATTCAACAGGACAAATGGCCCAGTTTCTTCCACAAATAATTGACAAGAAAAAAGGATAAAAGACACAGGAACCACATACATCGTGTGGACTGTGTGCGGATCCGAATTTGAACAAACCAACTTATGAAAAGATGTATTTGAGACAAGTGGAGAAATTCGAACAGTGACTATGTATTAGATATATTAAGAAATACTCCTTTTTTTAAGGGTGAGAATGATACTGTTGTTGTTAGCTGCCAGCGAGTCGGCCCCCAACTCATGGCTACCCTCAGCACAACCAAACAGAACGCCAAACAAAACGTGAACTTCCAGACTACGATGGATTAGCAAGAACGGCCTGGAGATCTACTTCCAAAAATTAGCCAATGAAAACCTGATGGATCACAACAGTCTGATCCCTAAGCCAGCATGGGATGGTGCAGGACTGGGTAGCGTTTCTTTCTGTTGCGCGTGAGGTTGCCATGAGCTGCGGGCTGACTGGATGGCCACTAACAACAACCACCAGTGGATGAATGAACGCAAGTTAGAACAAAAGAGAAGAGGCGCACGGAGGTAAAGGCAGATGTCTCCGCTCCTGGTCTCTGATCCTCTGGGACTCAGGTCTCACCTGTCTTTCCTGCTTCCCTCTGGTACTTCTGCTTAAGCCAGTCCATGAGCAAGCCATTCCAGGGGGCACACAGCACTCCGAAGAACTGAGTGATGGCAAATGCATTTGTGTAGGTGCTGACTGCAAAGGGCAGGGAGGGGTTAGGGGACGAGAAAAGAAAATTCCAGAGCTGCCTTATGAGAGGACTCTCCCACCCTGCCATGTCCTGCCTGCCCCTTCCTCCCTATACACCCAGAACCCCACTGGAGCACACAGCCCTGCTGGACTCAGTACCTATTCCCTGCACCCCCTGAGGTTCTAAGCCCCCAGCTTGGTAAGCAGAGGGGCTGTCTTCCAGCCCCGCCACATACCTAGTGCCCTGTCCCCACTGGCCAGGTTGGTCAGCAGAGAGTTAAGTGTGCCGATGAAGAGGTAGTTCCACAGCTGTATCACTGACAGCCACACCAGGTGGCAGGCAAAACGCCGAGAGAAAGCGTATCTCCAGAAGGAGTGGGGCGTCTGCTGCTGCCCTGGCCCGGGGATCTCTGATGGGAAAAGAGGACTCAGCATGAATCACAAGGAAAGTGGAGGGGTGGGATGGGCAAGAGAGGAGAGGCTTTAAAGGGACAGTCTGGGGTCTTCTATCCTGGTCTACCAGAACTCATTGGCATGCTCTCCAAAGCTGTCCCCAACTCATAACTCCTCCATGCCTTTGTCATCCTGGCCCCACCACCTTGAATGACCCCATCCCACTTTCTTCTCTGTCTCCTGAAACCTGATCTTTCACAGATTCACTGGATTCAATGATATTTCCTTCACTAACACTTTTCTGATCATTCTCAGCCCAGGATGGTGAAAAGAGAAGGAGAGGAGAAAGCCAGAGGAAGAGATGAGAACGTGTGGAAGACACATTGTTTTGGCCTGCTCCATATCCCTTCCCTTTCTTCTCGTACCAACATCCTGTATTTCTTCTGGGAATCTTCCCCTGCCCTCCTCTCCATGGTGCAGATGGGACTGTGAATTAAGTGTTCAGCCACTCCCTCTGGGGTGAGGCCTCAGGATCCATGGTTGGCCAATCTGATGGTTCTCCCTATAGAGGCAAACTAGCCGTGACTTTAGACGTGGATTCCAGGGGTATCCTGGTTCTACCTGGCAGGTTAGTTTTCCCCTTGACTTTGTGAGCTTCCCAGATTCTATTCTTATTTCTGCTTTAATTAATCAGCCATGGTTAGTGGTGTTTGTAACCAAAGACCCAGAAGAGGTAGAGGAGGGAAAGGAGGCAGCGATGGAGATGGGACATGGCAGGGGAAGACCCAGGAGGCCTGCAGACATGAGACAGACAAGCAGATTTAGTACAGGCGGAAGCACAGGGATGCAGGACCGAGGAGGGGTAGGCAAATAGTGGAAGGCAGACTTTAGGGAAATATGATGAAATGAGGAAGAGAGAAAAAAGGAACAGAAAAGAGACAAGACGGAGAAGAGAGCGCCTGGGAGCTAGTTCTAGTGACCCTCTGCACGAGCCGAGGCAAGCCCTGCCCCTCGCTGTGCCCTCTCTATAAAATGAGTATGTTGGCAAGATGACTCTAAGGTCCTTTCTCTGCCTGACCTTTCCGGACCTTGAGTCCCTAAGCAGCCAGCACCGTCACGGGAAAGGCCAGGCTCTGACGGGGAGATGGGCTGAGGGGCTGCGCTCACCATCCAATGACAGGTGCTCCTTCGACCGGCGCTCCACCTTATCGGGCTCATCTGCTTTCTCCTCCTCTGTGGAGCCGTTCCCAGAGCACAGGCTGCAGAGACAGAAGCCCCACCAGCCCGGCCCTAGGACTGTGAACCGAGCCCAAGACTCAGGCCGGACAGAAGAGTGCAGGGGATCCCGAATTTCACTGCACAATAGCATCACCTGGGGTGCTTCTCTCTCTCACACACACTCTCTCCCTCTGTGTCTCTGTGCTGTGTGTGCTGCTGCAGCCCAGACTAATTAAATCCAAATGTCTGGGGGTGGAAGCCAGGCTTCTGTATTTTTTAGAGATCTCCAATGAGGCATTGGTAGTTCAGTGATAGAATTCTTGCCTATCACACAGGAGACCCATGTTCGATTCCCGGTCTATGCACCTCATGTGCAGCCACCGTTGCTACAATGCCAAACAGGTTTCAGCAGAGCTTCCAGACCAGGAAGAAAGGCCTGGTGATCTACTTCTGAAAATCAGCCACCGAAAACCCTATGAATCACAATGGTCTGATTCACAACTGATCGTGGGGATGGCACAGGGCCAAGTGGTACTTTATTCCGTTGTGCACGGGGTCACCATGAGTCAGGACCAACTGGACAGCAGCTAACAGCAAGAAAAGATCTCCAGGTGATTCTAATATGCAGCAAAGTTTGGGAACCACTGGAAGAGTTGAAAGAGTGAAAAAGCCCTAGGTTCAAATCCCAGTCCTGCCTCTTCCCAGCCTTGGGAACACAGCTCAGACTTAACTCTCCCAAGTGTATTTTTCTCATCTAGAAAATGGAAATTAGGAGATCTATGTGAGGGGATGATTGTGAGGCTGACTCAGAGGGCACGCGGGGACTGGCAAACAGCAGGTGAGCAGTAAATGAACGCCCTCCCTCCATGCCTTGTGCTCATAAACTGCAAAAGTCGTCACAACTCTTCACCTGCCCTTGGTCTCCACCCTCTGCAAAGGGACTCTGCAGCTCTTCCCATCAAGAGATGGACACTTTTTCCCCACCCGCTGAATTCAAGCGGGCCTTGTGAACTTCTTCAGGCAAAAGAATGTAGCAGAAGTGATGCTGTACCAACTCCAAGCCTTGTCGTTTGTTGTTAGGTGCCGATGGGTCACTTCCGACTCATAGCGACCCCAGATACAACAGAACGAAACACTGCCCAGTCCTGTGTCATCTTCACAATCATTATGCTTGAGCCCACTGTCACAGCTACTGTGTCAATCCGTCTCACTGAGGGTCATCCTCTTTTATACTGACCCTCTACTTTACCAAGTATGATGTCCCTCTCCAGGGACTGGTCCCTCTTGATAACATGTCCAAAGCAGAAAACTCCTCACTCCAAGCCTAGGCCTCAAGAAACCTTGTACATTTCTGCACTCCCTCTTGGAACCCTGCAACCAGCATATGAACAAGCCCAAGCTAGCCTGCTGGAGGGAACACTATCATGTAACCTGGTCATCCCTGTCACCATAAACTGCCAGACACCCACATGTGAGTGAGGCCATCCTACCCCAGCCAGCCCCCAGCTGACCCACCAGATGACCACAGATGCACAGTCAAGCCCTGTTCAGATCATCCAAATCTGGCCCTGACCAGCAGACTGACCCAGCTACCCAAAGACTTGTAAAACATGAAAACAAAACCAGTTGCCGCTGAGTTGATTCTGACTCGTGGTGACTCCATGTGTTGCAGAGTAGAATGCACTCCATGGGGATTTCAAGGCTGTGATCTATCACAAGCAGATTGTCAGGCCTTTCTTCCGAGGTGCCTCTGAGTGGGTTCGAACTGCCAATCCTTTGGTTAGTAGTCAACTGCTTAATGGTTTATGCCACCCAGGGACTCCTTGTAAAAAATAAGAAATGCTTAATATTTTAGGCCACTGAGGTTTGGGTACTTTGTTATGCAGCAATAGCTAACTGATACAACCCTGCTTTAGTCTTCCCCTCCTGAGACAGGGTTCCTCTGCCCTAGATAACCACATCTATCCCACCCCTGCTTCCCACCCCAGGTCAGATGCAGGGCCTTCGCTTATGCCCACCAGGTCACAGTCCTTACCCATAGTGGTAGTTGGGGGGCAGTGGGTAGGGGATGTGCCCCCGAGGCATCAGGAAGAAAGTGCGCCCAATGTGCCAGGCACTGCAGACAGACAGGAAGAGGAAGGAGGCCCTGAGGCTGATGCCTTGCTCATAGAGAAGCTGCAGAGAAAGGAGAGGAAACATCAGTGTGAGAGGCAGGCCCTGGAACCCCAGTTCCCAAGAAAGAGCCTCAGTACAGGCTCCTTCCCACCATGCTGGAAGCTGATTACGGATACCTGGTACACACTCACACTCACCCTCACCCTCACCCCCACCCAAGGGCCCTGGCAGCAGCAGGGCAGGTATCTCATCACCCACCCCACAGCCTGCACAGCCTCTTAGCATGGCTCCTTGGACATCTTCCAGCCCAGTGCCTTTTCCACAATAGGAGCAAAGTCTTTGTGTCCAAACAAAATCTTACACAAAAATTCAATTTACAAAACAGATCAATGGAGAGCTGCCCAGTAACCCTCCTTCTCATTCCCCTTGGTGAGCCACGTAATATCTAACAGAACCCCTAACTGGTCCTCAGAGCTCAGTTTGAAAACCACTGATGTAGCCCAACCTCCTCTTTTTACAGAAGATGAAACTGAGGTCCAGAGAGGCACAATGAGATGTCCAAGGTCAGAGCAGCAGCAGCAGAGCCACATTAAACTAAAAACTCTCACTCGTGCTCCAGTGCTCGCTCCCCTTCCATTTCTACAATGAGAGGAAAAAAACAGAGGTGCACCCAGGGCAAGGAGGGAGAACCTGGAAGGTGGCTCTTGTACCAGGGGTAGGAAGATTGAGTAAGTATCCAAGAGGCTCAGTCGCTGGGTGTCACCAAGCCAAGGTGCTCATGGGACTAAATTAGACTTATGTTTGGGTAGTGACTCCCAAGGCTCCTTTTCTCTTCCTCCATGGCCAGTTGCCCCTGGCCTAACACAAAGCACAGAGGGCTGTCCCAGGTTGTGCAGCTTGGGTGTCAAGGACCCACACGCTTTCATTCCTTCCTCTCTATTATCTTTAATGTGTTAGCTTTTGTCCTCCAGATTGTTGCCTCATAATCACAAGATGGCTGCCACAACTCCAGCTATCACATCCTCCTACAACAACATTCAAAGAGGAAGGGTGGGAAGGGGGATCAAGAGAGAGGGCTTTCCTTTTGCTCTGTTCTCACCTTTCATCAGGGAGGAAAATTCCCCCTCAAGTCTTCTAGTATATACCCTCTTCATCTAATTAACCAGGACTAGATCACACATCCACCTCTACTCATCACTGACAAGAGATTGTCACAGTTGGCTCAGATGAGTCAGGATTCATCCCCTGGACTGGGCACAGTGTTGCCCAGATGAAATTGTTAGCAATGAAGACAGCGGAATGGCTATTGGGTGGGCCACTAGCAGCACTGGCAATAGTCCATATCCTTGCTACCCAACATCAGGTTTCAGGAGAGCCGAGAGACCTACGTGTCTGCCCCTGCTGCCCCTATTAGCAACCCACCACCACCATGTCCAAACTAGAAGCTCACAGCAGCAACCATCTCATTCCAAAGGGCTCCCAACCTCTTCTTAGAGGGGAAAGGTCCACTTGACGGCACTGGCCCAAGCACTGCATGGCCATGCCCTCCCTTAACCTCTGCCCAAAAATCCTAAGTGTGAAGAAGGGGCCTAATGGCTATGAGCTCAAGGCTCAAGAACTTGGGTTCAAGTCCAAGTATCACATTTCTAGCTGCAGGGCCACGAGCAAGCATCTTAACCTCCCTTAGAGTCAATGCCTCCTCTGTAAAATGGAGGTAAGATAAGTACCTCAGAGGGTTGATGGAAAGAAAGCATGCCCAGTTCATAACACAAGCATCTGGCATGTATACATGCTCAATAAATGCTGGCTTTTGCTATTTTTACCTTAATGATAAGGAAGACAGCTGAGGAGGAGTCAAATGCCCCATTGTAGAGCGTGATGATGGTGGAGCGGTGTTTTCCAAATAGGTTCCCAACCTGGAGAACACCCAACCAGCCTGAATCACTTATTTATTCATGAAACAAATATGTTCTGGGCACACAGCCTGTGCCAGGTCCTCACGATACCCACACCCACCCTGTGCCTCAAGAGCTACATCCTGGCTTGGGCCAGCCCCATCTGAAGCAGCCCATTGTAGAAAAGTGCTTCTCCCTCCCCTCCATCCTCTCCACCCTCCCTCCATCCTCTTACCCTCCCCTCCATCCTCTCCACCCTCCCCTCAATCCTCTCACCCTCCCTCCATCCTCTCCACCCTCCC